ACCCCGAAACCCTTTTCTAATTATTCAGGCCCCTACATTATGGGCTTCCAGGACTTGCGCGCTGCCTCAAAAGACTCTGGCAGCCTATGTCACTGAGCACGTCATGTCAGCTGTGAGGAAGACGCAGTGCTTACCAGTGCCGGCTAGTGTTTGCAAACTAAGAACCTGCTCCCTAAACCCTAAACCCTCAACCCGAGTAGTTCCCCATCTCTGAAGCTTCTTGCGAGCCAGCTGATTTGCCAGCATCCGTCAGTCTGAATAATGAGACTAGGGTTTCGGGGTATATTCTACTATAGTTAGAATACGGATCCACCAAAATAGTATTAGTAATTTTCAGTCAGGCTCAAATCCCTCAAAGTCTGAACTCCCAGGAATCTGCAAACCTTTCGCTCCACAAACCCCCTCACAAAGAAAACACGCCACAACAGAGAAGCAGGGTCCCAGGATTCTCTGGCCTAAAACCTTCCAGCTTTGTACTGCCCTCCATTTCCATAAGATAGCTCAGAGTAGCCTAAGGCGCCGCTCTGTCGAAACGGCGTTCGGAGCCTAAATTTGCTTGGGGGGAAGTTCGGGTTAGGATGACGAGAAGGCTCACCATAAGGAGGGATGCTAAGAGGATTACTTCAAGAGATACTGTGCGATACTGTAAGTATTACTACGACGGTTTCAGGTGCAGGTTTTGGGTTTGAGGGTTGTCAAAGGTTCATGCGCTTAATGACACGGTGACACAGCTGCTGTGGATTTGTAGGACTTTAGGGTTGTACCAGATGTATACTGCTACTCGGGAGAGCGGAGTTTCTTGTAGACCACTGATGAATAAGTCCCTTCTTCTCGGGCTGTACTGTCAGAATCCGTGTTGTGCTCCTTATTACGGAGGGGGAGGTATTCTTAATCAGTAGTTATTTCTTGTGATGGGGACGCAGATACCTGTACACTCAACTTTAAGTCCCTCTGCCACTGATGCCCATGATATAGGGGCTTTTTTTAAATAACCTATACTATGGTGGGGGCTCCTTATTATAATGATAGTATAGTAGACCTCAAAACCCTATTCGAATTATGAAGGGCCCTACGGCTGATGGACAAAATCCTGCATGACCTTATATACCTAAACTATGGGATTTATGGTACTATACTATATTTGGGTCATGCAGAATTTTGTCCATCAACCGTATATTAGCTGACTCTGCCCAGGCTTCGCTGCGCGAAATGCAGCTGCTGCTGCGGGACTGACCCTGCAACCCATGGCCATCAAACCTAATGTACCAGGACCCCCCAAGGGCCCTTGAATGGAGCCCTTATGGCCCTTAATAGTGGGTACTTAGGGTATATTAGAGGGTAGTTGGGGGGTCTAGGTACAGCCTTCAGGAATCAGCTGTCGCGCGCACGTCGGCCTGACTACGGACCAAGCAAGTTAAAAAACCCTACATTCACGCTGCGCAGTGCAGGAAGGGGGCCCCGCACGCTTCTGGAATGGAGGACTGTTAGGCTTGACTCTCTTGAGTCTTCTCTTGGGATTACGGGTTTAAGAGGGATCGGAATAGTTTGCAAGTTTTCAGGTTTTGAGATGTTTTGGGGCATGGTTGGGGCTGAGGGGTTTGGGGGTGTCGGGTTTTGGCCCTGGCAGCAGGATTTTGGGGCTGAGAGCGCTCGAGTGCTGAGGTTGTCTAATGCTGGGTGTGCGGTGGGTAGGTGACTTGCAACCTGGCTAGCAACCCTACGCAGTAAAGGCCACAACCCTTCAATCCCAGGCCGTAGACGCCAAGTTAAAGCTATCTGAGGGTCTTTTCGATTCCAGCACTTGGGCCTAGGGGTTTGTGGTTCGCAGGGCTTAGGGCCCCTTAGCAAGCTTGAGAGTTAGATAGTTTGTCACCGGTAGTTAAGAAGCAGGCAGATAGCGGTGACGATATCTCAACCTCCCGTACGATACACAGAACCCCAGTTGTAATGATGCCGAACCCTCGGATAGTTCCCAATCTAGCACTCTTTAGAGACGGCGGGCTTTCGGCGGGTTCCGCAGGTACAACTAATGTAGGGGCCTACATAATCACCTATACTATTTGTTTTTTTGGGGGGGCGGTTCCTTATTATAATTATAGTATCATGGGCCCCAAAACCCTATTATAATTATGAAGGCCTCTATATTATGAGCAGAAAGCCATCAACCATGCCATCATCAGATCCCAGAGCCTTGAGCTTCCTGACCTGCGCCGTACTGAGTGGTCCCTACACCTGAAACCGTAGAAACCTGCAAGCCTAAGCGCTAAACCTATAAACCCTAAATCCCTGATTGGCGGGATAGAGGAAAGAACAACAGGAAGGAATCAGGTGTGTATATATATATATATATATATATCTATATAGAGTGAGAAAGTATGTGTATATATATATATATAATATGTCTTGATTATATACATATATGAGTCCCGACGTCGTCCGATCCTTTTTCTCCAGGCCTCGCATCTTCGCTGCCTCACTCGGCCGCATGGCCGCTGCCTCGTTGGGGAGACAGGGGCCCCCCCAAAAAAAGGAACCCGTAAGGGTTCCTTTGAGGGTTCGACAAAGGTTCCTCTCATGGCTCCAACCCTTAGAGGGTTTCGGTCTGTCGGTTCTTGGGCTGAGGGCTCGATCAGGATTAAGAAGGCTCGGGGCCAAGAGTAAATCGTGTTAAGCATTCTCGAGAACAACCCCTAAAGACCGTAGCAATGCCGACAGCAGCATCGAAGTCTACAGAGAGCGTGACTTTGTATTTTCGTTCTGCGGATCGGCTCCACGGAGTCTTGTGAGAAAATGCGGTCGTGTAAGTAGACCTTACGCCAAAACGGTTTGGGGAAGCCGGGTAGGTGGAGCTTCTTGTAGACTAAGCTCAACTCCCTATACACTTCACTCAGGGTTCAGGGTTCAGGCACCCAGGAACATGGCAACACTGTAAAACAGGAGCAGCGGTGGTGATACTGGCCATGACAGCAAGAGCAACGAGCATGAGCATCTTCCAATAGGCAACACTGGCAGTTGTAGATACGAGCAGAGCAGCATTTCCTGCAAGAGTTGTGAACACGGGCACCATGATTCAACTGAAGGCAAAACTGCCAGTAAGATTGCGACATGGCGCCTCGAGCCTAAAGACCCCGCCAAATCCTACACCCCAAACCCCAGACCCTAAACCTAAGCGCTTGGAAGATATCCCAGAACATCGAGAAAAAGATCAGAAGCACCAAGAAATCCCCCCCAAGGCCAGAGGACGAAGCGGCACTTGCTGTAGCACAGCTTATAAACAGAAAACTGACAGCCGAACCATCACAAGCTCTATTCCTGAAACCCTTCAGCCCAATCCTAGACAGCAACCTTAAACATCTTGCAGCGCAGAACCAGACCCCATCCCAGAAACCTTACACGTAGCCCTTACACCCCAGAGATTCAGACCGCAACCTAGGTGGCTGGTGTACGAAAATTCGAAGTCTGGAACCCGAGATGCTCATACAACTTCTACCGGGGTTCATCTGAATAGGTCGAGGGTTCAGAGCTTAGGGCTCCATACCAGATAGTGCCACAAGATGCCACAAGACCTTGCTCTTATCTTTGCAGGCACAGAGAGACTTTTCTCAAGGAATCTGCTTTCATGGATCGTAGAGTCAAAGGTCGGTGTTGTAGGCCCCGGGTAGGTTCTGCAGAGCCTTCCTTTGTTTCGGTTCTTTAGGGGAGCAGGGGAAACATCTATCGGGAGTCCCCCCGTTCGGGCTCCCAGTCTAGAAGGATACCCTTAGTTGTAGAGCTTTAGGGTTCTGGGTTTAGGGTTTAGGGTACATGCATATAACCCCACCTGAAGGCAATCCATGAACACTTACACTAGATGTCCCGCACAAAAAATAACATAGCTAATCGAAACCCACAGAGCCACTACGGGCCCCATGAACATTAAGATCCGAAGGCGGGTCATGTTGTACAGCTTACAACATGAGTCTTAAGACATCTTGATGAAGGCGTCCCTGCTGCAGAAGTTTGGCACAGCCCTGAGGCCGTATAGCATCTTTACACTGACCTAAGGGAGCGCCATAAAGCCTTGTGCAGCCCTCCTAAACTTTAAGCACCCTAAACCTATGAACTTCTCAGAACCCATGACTTGGTGTCCTGAGGTCGTTTCTCCTGGCGAGCAAAGCTTTCGACCAGGCAGAGCGAGCATAATACAGGGGCCTGAATAAATCGAATAGGGTTTCGGGGCAGAGTAAGTATACTATAAGTTTAATAAGGAATCCCCAAAACCCTATTCTAATGATTAAGGCCCCCAATACGTTAATAATGCATAGGGGCCTTAATCATTAGATTGGGGTTATTATTGCATTAAAAAAACGTAGGGTTCAGGATTTTGGTTCCTTAGCGCGGTCACTCTTAGGGCTACTGTAACGGTTACCATGAGCGGGAGTGGTATCCGGGTGTTTGACTCGTTTTGGTTTCAGGGTTTAGGGTTTCTTGCTTCGGGGTTCAGGCTTGGTGGGTGCTTATAAGGCTCCCTACGGATGGTTGATGAATGTTTATGATGGCAGTTAGGAGGGACCGCTGTGAGGCCATAAGCTCTACCTTTAGGGCATCCTTACGGGAGGGTGGCTCAAGGGGGGAGGGTCCTAGGGAGCTTTAGGGAACCTAAGGGAGTACTAGGGAGAATTGGGGATTACTGGGTTATATACCCCCCTTAGATACCCCTCCCTTAAGGATTGCATATACCTTGAAGCCCAATCCTTAGATCACTTAGATCCGAAGCATTGGGGCCTGGTGTTTCCCATAGCAGCCCAAAAGCTGCTCGCATTGGGCTCCGTGAGTGTAGCTTGCTGCCACAACCCCTTATAACTTCTAGCTTATGACCCCTCTGCCCTAAACCCCGAAACCCTAATCCCTGATCCCCACTCCCTGTGAACGTGTCGCCTGCAGGTCAGTCCGGAAGTGAAGCAAGGCTGACGGAAAGAGCTGTCTCTGCTTGTGTATTATAAGGGCCTCAGTAGTCAGAATAGGTTTTGGGGGGTATTAAAAATATCTATACCGGAACGAAACGACGAATTGCTGCGACTTTGTAAAAAATGCTGGACAAATCACTTGCAGCTGATGCTGTGGCATCAAGGAACACCTTGAGATGCCTGTTTCTTCTACTCTCCACCCTAAGTTTTGGCCCTAAACCTCAAACCTGTAAGGAGAAGTGCTCGACTTGACCCGAGCTTATGGCTGGGGGTTCAGAGGTTTAGGGTTTAGGGTTTAGGGTTAGGGCTTAGGACGGCCTAGAGTCTGGAGTCTAAAGGGTTTGTTTGGTGCTGGTAGAAGCCTGGGTCGACGGTGACAGCACTGACAGCTTACTGTCTTCGTAGCTTCAGAGCGAACTCCTGAATCCTAAACACCCCTCAAAGGTCTTGCTCTTATATAAAATGTATATAAGATGTATACTGATTTCAAGTAGATCCTCTGCATTGTCATAGATGCCCAAGCCCGCTTAGAGGGCCCGCGAGCTTGCACGTAACCTGTACTTGCTAAGTCGCAAGACTCTTTCTGTCTGCAAGCAGCTTTATCAGGGCTGCTATGTCGTGAGACGTCAGGATTACTTATTACTCACGTAGGACATGGAGGTCACTGTGTCAGTCGTCGCAGGAGTCAGAAGTGCTAGCATTCTAAACCCTAAACCTAAACAGGAAGGAAGCAATTCACCTCCGATGTTGCCCTCCCAACAGCCCCGGCCAGGCGGAAACAAGGCGCTTAAAACAAGGATTTCCAATGAGCAAAAACAGCATGCAGTTGTATAATAGAGTCTTATTCTTGTATGACCTAATTGGATAAAAATTGGATATGTTATTATCTTATAAAAAGATAAAAAATGTAATAGAATATATAAAAAAATGTAATAGAATGGAGGTGTGGCAGCTGCGGGTTGCGGGGTGGCGGCCGTCGTGGCCTCCTGCGACCTGCACTCAGAGACGATCCAAAGAAGCCGTTTTAAAGTGAGCTTACCCAAAGGGTCTAAGTACTAATATGGTAGATACCTTGGGGCCCAAAATATCTACTATATGGGCACTTAGACCCTTTGGGTTGTAGAAGGGTTCTGTCAGGGTGTTCTAAGGGGTTCTTAAGGGTTTGGGTGTATTTTACCTATAGTGTTTTTTTTTTGAGGGGGGGGGAGGTTCCTTGCAAAAGTTATAGTATAAACTACCCCCCAAAACCCTAGTCTAACTTTGAAGGCCCCTATATTATGTGGTTCTTGGTGTGCTGGCGTTGAGGAGTCTGGGGCTGTAGAGTGTAGGCATTTCGGGCTCAGCAGCTGGATTCTGACGAAAGGCTTAGGACCTAAGGTCCAGGGATGCGGGCCGGCTTGGTCTTTCGGAGTTTGGGGCTCAGGGGCTTTAGGTAGGGTTTAGGATGTGGGGTTTGGGTGCAATCATGAAAGGAACCCTACGGAAGTTTTACCAGGAAGTGCACTCTCATGCAGTCTTTGCTTTGCCACCTCAATGGCCACAACACCTACCGTGGGGTCATCACATCATGTGTATAGGGAGTTTAATAAGGTTATTAGGGTTTAGGGTTGGGCATGTTGGGCTCGACGGTCTGTGCCATGAAAGCCTTGCTTTGGCTTGCGACAAACGACCCCACCGAACGTGGGGCGGAAGAAAAGGTCTGCTGGTCGTGTACTCTTATTGCCGTCAACAAGCGTCGTGTAATTCTTTTCGGAAACAGCGCTCCCGATCACAGCCGTATGCGACGAGTGACGCCAGTAATAGTCGTCTGACGCTCAGTGAGCCCCGTTTTCCTTCGCACCCCCAGCGCCCTAGCTCCCACCGTCCCAAGGCCACGACGCTTCTGCTTAACCCGCTGGATGTGGTAAAATCCCAAGTCCAGGCCTTGTGCAGTTAACCCAAACAAGTCCATGATTTTTCATGACTTGGGGGTGACAAGGCCCAACGGCAAGAGTAGGGATGGTAGCCCATGCTTACAACTTAGTCTGTACAATATGGGTAGTTCTCTAAATTAGGGTACCTTATTTTGGGGTCCTTATAACACGGATACTACTATTTAAGGTACCATATTAGGGCCCCCTTTTTCGGAAACCCCCATATGGGCTCTTATCTTTTTGGTCTGGAGTCGATAGTGCAGGAAGCGGCGGTTTATTCCGGGGCCGCCAGGTGTGGCTCGAAAGGGCCGCACGAAGGAAGGAACGCACTAACGTGGCATAATGTGGGTGTCGGGTTATCTAGTAATACGATTCCCAGGTTTCTTATTGAAACTGTAGTGTAAACACTTCTATTCTACTTTACAGTTAACAGCTAAGGCCCTATATTGCCGCCTGAACCTGCAGTAATCAAGCAGTTCGTGTGTAGGCTTCTGCAGTCAATCGCATCCTAGAGGGTCTTCGTGTGAGCTGGGCTTTTGGCTAACTGCGGTGGGGCTCGATATGCCTTTGCGGGTTGAACTTTCACATGGATCATAGAGCCCGAACATGGATCTTAACCCTAATCCGTAAACCCTAAACCTTTCTGCAGTCGGAAACAGGGGCTCAAAAAAAAACCTTTCTGAACATGGATCCCAGAACCCGAATATGGACCCTCAACACTGCCATCCTTACTGAGAAGATCCTGAGCCCTAAATCCAAGTGACTGTGAAAGCTCAGAAGCCCCGCCTCGGGCAGGCGGCTTCGTGCAAGGCCCGGCGATCTTAGCGTTTTGTTTAGGGTTGAGGGTTTTGGGTTTAGGGTTTAGGGTTTAGGGTATGTTTCGGTTTAGAGTTGACCTGTAGCCGAAAAGACCTACCTTCTTATGGCTCCTGGTCTTCGAGGACACAGGTAGGGTCATGGAGGTTGTCCCGAAACCATTATCTGGAAGTTGGTGTCGAACCTTTTTACAAAACAGAACAACATGGAGAGCATTTTGCGCATGGAGGGGGCGTGAAAGCGCTGCGGAGGCAAGAAAGCAAAGTTGGCAACGTTGATGCGTTCAAGGGTCCGTGTTCATCCCTTGAGGGATGCAGAGTTGGATGATGCTTGCCTCGCTACAGTTTGCCCACCACCCTAAACCCTGAACCCCAAACGGTGCGACCTTCGACGAAGCTCAACAAGGGTGAGGCCCGTCAGGGTTCGAAAATGTCTCAAAGGAACCCGAAAGAAAGACGTGGGCCCGAAAAAGAAGCAGGAACGGTTCTGGGCCGCAACACACCCCACAGCACCAAGGCCTAAACTCTGAGGCCCTGCAACCCTAAGCCCTAAAACCGTAAACCCTAAAAACCCCAAACTCTAAGGCCTAAACCCTAAACATCCCCAGCTTGAAGCCAGAAAGCAGGAAAAGGTTTCCCTGCTCGACTACTTTGGCGGACAGCATCTTGGCAAAGCTCTCCGAATCATGGGGGTTTAAGGTTTAAGGTTTGAGGTTTAGGGGCTTGATAGTGTTTTCGTTGTAGGGCGTTAAGCTTGAAGGGTCGTCCGGGGCTTGTGGGGTTCTATCAGGTTTTACGAAGATTACCCTGAGAGTCCGAGAACCCCAAAACTAGACTAGACTTTTGAACACTAAATGCGTATATAGAGCGCGCCTACAGAGACCTTGACACCAAATATAATACTCTACTGTGGATGGCCCTGTACAGCCTGAAACCTCATGCCCAAAACCGAAAACCTTTTTCCCCTGGATCACTGAAGCACCCTGAACCCGAGGACCTCTTGGCCCTAAGCCACAAGACCTGATCTCTCCGGACGATAGCAACAACCACTGAAATGACGATTGTCATGATAGTGCGTAGCAATAAGAGCAGCCGCAATAGTAGCAATACTCAGAGTAAAAAATGATACTGACAATAATGATGATACTGTAAATAGTGCTTCTCTTGAGCAAAATGGTGGTGATGATGATGGTGATGTTATACACCTAAGGAAGCTCAGAGAGCTCAACAAACTGTGCGAGGTCGCTCCGGCAGCTTTTTTTCCGGGGACTTGGTCCGAGGCGGGACGTGGGCCTTTAGGGCCTTGGCTTGTTCGAGGCTTCGTGCTTGATTTTGTGGTTTGGTGTTGTTGTTCCGGGTTTGGAGGCTTTCTGCCTTGGGGATTTCGGGGTTTGTGTTGGGGTCTTGATACTGATCGTGGAGGTTTGTGTTGGGGTCTTGATACTTGATCTTGGGCTTCTCGGGATAGGGAGACTTCGACTTGGACTCTGCGGTGGTGCTGTCTGTTTCAAGGTTGTTGCTCCGATGTTGCCTCCCCCCTCAACAAAGACAGTGAACAGTTTTCTTTATATATGTATCTACGCACTTGCATACACACATATACGTGCGTGCACATTCTTTAAGTTCATACATACGTGCACTCCTGCCCCGATGGGTGCTGCTGAATACCCCGCACCGGACAGGCCGGGCCCGACGTAGGATATTTTAGGGCTTAGGGTTTAGGGTTTTAGGGTTTAGGGTTCTAGGGTTTTGGGTTTAGGGTTTAGGGTTTTAGGGTTTAGGGTTTAGGGTTGCAACTTGTAACACTATCCTAACTGCAGTAAGCCTAGGGCTAACGGGTTCCTGGGGTTTATAATATATGGTTAGTAACCTACTATTTCAGTAATTTAATTGGAGCCCCAGGTAACACTATCCTAGGTAGGCCTGTGGAATATTGTACATTTCATTGGGCCTGAGGGGAACTTGTTGACGAGTTTTGCAGCAGCATTAAAATACAGGGCCAGCCTAACATCCTCTTGTAGTCCCGAAATAGTTGGACTATTTGGACTACAGTGCAGCCATACGGCCATACGTTATCCTCGTGATTTTAGGGCGCCAACATACTCATACAACCTATGAAACCGCATAGAGCCCTTACTAAACCCTTCTCTGATCCTTAGCGAGGCCACTGTATCAGGGTAAGCCCTAAACCCTAAACTATGGAGCTTGAGGTTGATTTTGGCAGCTGCGCACGGCTGTTCGGACTGCTTCACATACGAGGCGAGGGTTTATCCGGATGCTTTAGGCGCTCAGACCGGGTAATCTGGGGGCCTTAGTAATTACCTGTACTATTTTGGGGGCTCCTTGTTAGAAGTGTAGTACAATATATCCCAAAACCCTATTCTAATCATTAAGGCCCCTACATTAATCTAGGAGCCTGAATTAGAACGGGTTGGTTTGACAAGAGCAGTCTTCTTTCATCCGATACAAGCTTGGTTGATGCAGAATTTCATTTTGGATTTGTTTGGGGGATCTCCCGGGTCAAGGTTAGAGTTAGAGTAACGCATATGGAAGGGATATGGGAGTTGCCGAAAATAAGGGGGTGCTGTATTTTGGGGTCCTTATAATAAGGAGTCCTACTATTTGGGGTACTATATTAGGGTCCCCTATTTCGGAAACCTCCACATACCGGATTGGGGTCGGGGGTCGGAGCTGCGTTTGGCATGGTCCAAGGGTTGTGATCAGCAAAGGAGACTGGGGTTGAGGGTCTAGGGTTTAGGGGTTTTGGGTTTAGGGTTTAGGTGTTTTGGGGTTTAGGGTTTAGGGTTTCTGTGTCGGCCGGTCTTGCCTGCCAACCTCCTGTAACGACATGGCTTGTGGTCTCCATACACGGGCCCATGACCCCAAGAATCTCGACATCCCGCACTGCAACCTCCAAGGCCACAGGTGCCCTTCGGGACATCCGCGAAAACGGTGCCGAAAACTTTGGGATCTTAAGGTCTACAGTGTGCTGTGCGGTCTAGGGTGCGCGAAACGAGCGGCATGCCAGGTCCTTCGAGTTTTCAGCTGTTGTACCACGAGCTTGTAGAACCCACAAGTGGGTAGTTCTCTAAATTAGGGTCCCTTTTTGGGCTTCTTTTTATAAGGGTGCCGTACTACATTTGGGATCCTAAAAAGGGATCCGAATTTACTACCCAAAAGCCATCAGTTTCTGGGGCCCGGGAAACATATCAGATCCCCCCAACAAGCCCGTAACCCGGAGCAAACGTGTGGCTCCGGCCCTGCATTGTAATTGTCAGGCCACGATGCACTTCGGGAAGAGCATGCAATGAGCTACTGGCAGCGAGGCGGGTCAAAACTCGTAGGAGTTTCTGAACTTACAGCTTCCTGATATGTGGCCAGCCTGTCGCCTCTCATTCTGCACTGCTCAGCACTCTTCGAACTCCGTCTTCAAGATTCCTGTTGAATTTGCAAAGATCTTGGAATGACAGGATGGTATCCCAGGGTCCAGGGCAGAAAGTGCTTTTGCTTGTGAAGCCGCGTTGGCGAGTGTTTGGGCAACCGGCCCTTGACGACCATCCGGAAACGGTTGCTGGATGGCTACAGCGGCCTACACTGAACTTCCCCAGATTCAGTCTATGAAGCCCATCACGTCACAAAATGTGTACTGCATCTCAAGTCTATGCAGCTCCAGGAGATCATGATGAGCGTGCACATCTACGTCGGTGGCTGGCCCAGTGGCTCTCACCTTGCAGTGGAAGCGACTAGTGAAGGATGTAATAAACCAGAAGCCCTGAACCCTGAAACTTTAAAGTTGAATCCTTGTGACTTGAACTCTTGATCCCTTGAGCTTTAAACCTAAGCCCCTTGTGATTTGAAATATTGAACCCTGAACCCTAGACCCTAAGCCCTGAACCCTTAAGCCCCAAGACTTCAATCGAAGGCTTGTACTCTGCGCCCCCCGAACCCTTCGACCTCTCAGACTCTGATACCTTGACCCATAAGCCTTCCTTTGGAGAGTTCTCTAAATTGCTGTCCTTTCTAGGGTCCTTCTTATAAGGGTGCCGTATTATTATGGGGATCTAAACGGGGCCCTATAATTTAGATAACTACCCAAATGGTGTGCGAGCTTGCTGGCGATTCTGCTGCTTAGGGCGTTCCGGATCTCATGTTAGTTTATGCGCGGAGGCATGAACAACCCTAAACCCTAAACCCTAAACTACGAAGGGCGCCCAGGCTTTTGAAGTGCAGGAGTTTCTGCCCGTAGCGAGGGGCCAAAACGGAGTTTCAGAAAATAAGTGACCCGAATATAATATATAGGGGCCTAAATAATTACCTACACTATTCTGGGGGCTCCTTATTATAGCTATAAAGTTGTAGTATAAATACCTTCAAAACCCTGTTCTAATCCATAAGGCCCCTACAATTAAACCCCAAGCAGTAGGTAGGATCCTCAGTTTGGTGACTCGCCCAAAGGGTCCTGGGTACTCTTATGGGGGCTTCTTTCCCAAAGCATAATTCATGTTCCTAATATAGAAACCCTACGTTCTAGTATAAAGTCACTTAGGACCCTTTGGGTCGTGAATAAGGTACACCTAGTTTTAGTTATACCATTTCGCCCAAAGTCACTCAAAGTTAAGTGTTGTGTTTCTACTCCACTTGCAAATGGGTCTATGTTTATGGCTGTTTCTAGTTCTGCGCAATGTCACACTGGGTATCTAAATTCAATATCGTTACTGGCTTCGTATGTTACTGGAAACGAAAAAAGCTAAGAGTCTTAAAATTCTGAAGCCTCAAACCCCAAAAGCCTAGATCTCTCTCTCTCTCTCTATATATATACATATATATCTCTATCTATCTACCTATCTATATGTACATAGAGTTCTGATTTACTTATGTTATATATGGGCACATATTTACCGTTTTGTTTTTTGAAACCCTGACACCCTACAGCCCTCAAGCCCTAAGCTCTTACCCCCCTCCCCCTCAAACCCTAAACCCTAAACCCTAAACCCTAAACCCTAAACCCTCTTGACAAGAGGTGGCCACTTCGGCCTCGCTAGGTCTTGGTTCCAAGGCGGTGGAGGGCGCGGGGTTTCGGGATTCCAGGGTTCAACGCGATATTTTGGAGGTCTTGGAGCTTTTGGGCTTGAGTGTACGAAGCTTAAGGGCTTGAGGGCTCAGGCTTAGAGGTTAGAATCCTCATTCTTGGCCTGTGGGTGTCTTTTGGAGTTTTCTGTTTACTGTAGTGGCGGCGGTTTACAGATTCTCACGCATTGGCTTTTGCGGACATGGCGAATAGATTGTGGTCTCTTTCTGCAATCCTAAACCTAGACCCTACATAGCTACAATAATTGCAGCTACAAGATTTCAAGCAGGAGTAGCCCGCACAGTATACGTGTTCGATACTTCTTGGCGAATATATATGAGTACAACTGGAGTACGTAGGCGTGCCTTCCAGGTGCTGCTTTCACGGACAGTTGCGTTTCAAGATTCCGGCCTTCACGAGGACTCCCGTCCAGGTCTCCTACCGTCAGCTAGCTAGCAACTAGCATGGGCCTCTGGGAAATGGATACATGAGAGGTTGATTTGTCTTCACTTCGGCTTCGTCGAACTTATATAGTTTCGAACTTGTCATATCAACAGCAAGAGAGGCGCCCCCCCTAAACCCTAAACCCTAAACCCTGACCCTCCTGCGCTTGAACCTGTTGATGCCTGGACTTCGATGCTGCCTTCTTCCCAAGGCAGAGCCACTTCTATGGGGTCCAAAACAAAAACCAATATGGGAGCATTTTGGGGGGTTCCCTAGAATATTTAGAGTATAATATAACCCCAAAACCTATTCTAATTATTAAAGCCCCTACATTAGGGTTTAGGGTTTCCGGAACTACAAGCCCCCAGCCGCTCGTCGCGAAGCAAACCCAAAACCCGACATGCTGTGACACCAGGCCGCAGACTGCGAATATTGGGGTGTAGTCGGGGCTTGGCTTCGGACGTTTAGGGTTTAGGGGTTTAGGATTTAGGGTATACTCTTATAGTCCCTGTAAAGTTCGTGAGAATGGGCCCCAAAGCCCTATTCAAATTATGAAGGCCGCTACCTTACTTGCACTCCGCGGTGAAGTGCCATGACGGCACCTTGAACCTGATGCCTCGCTGCTGAAAGACGGCCCCTTCCCTTTGCCCGACCACTGTTTCCGGGTTCGAAGCTTACAGATTAGACCTTTATGGTTTAGGGTTTAGTGTAGGATTAGGCCTTTAGGGTTTAGGGTTTAGGCTTTAGGATAAGACCCTTTAGGGATTCAATTCAACCTCTGACTCGAGGGACCGTGTAAAAGGGCATATCACGACAGCTAATTTGCAAGTCGCAGCATGTGCACTGTTGCCTGAAAATGTATGCTGGGAGCGATTACCACGACCATGCTGCCAATGGTGATGATGGGGAGCCGCATGGCCAATTAAACTAAGTACAAACAAAGGCAGCACCAAATCATGGTTCGAAAGGTAGTGAACCGGCAACTACCCACTACATGGAGTTCTAGACTAATAGTACATGTTTTCTCCAGCTGTCAACTTCCTGTCAGATCAAAGCTCATACTCTTCAGGCTATACCCAACACCCAGCCCCAAAAGCATCCACTCCACACCCTGAACTCTCAGCGTAAGCCCGAAAGAAACCCAAACCCCAAAAGCGACTTCCATGTGTCCAGCCTTCTTCTGCTGCAGCGCAACATGGGCATCTGGTTGCGGAGCCTCCTGATACCAGGCTACACAGCAGAGAGCGCATATTCAACCAGCAAAGATGGAAGCTGCCTCAAATGCGAGGTTCGAAATTTCAGAGATCGCTCTAGCACGGTTCCACTATGGTCGCTGCTGTTTGTCGCTGAGGCTAAAGGCAAGTCCTGCGACAAGTACTTGGGCTGATCACTCATTGAACTACGAGCCCAAACTACACAGGGTACAGCCATAGCTTATCACCACGATCTCACCTCACGGCCTCCTTCTAGCTGATTCTAGCTATCCGGAACCTGCGAAAAAGCACAGCCCAAAGCCACCAAGGCTTGCATCTGCATGCCCAAGCCCGTTGAACCCTAGAGTCAAACAACCCTTATAATCCGAAAGCAGAAACTGAAGCCCCACACTCTAGACTCTAAGCCCCAGGAAGCCAGCCGAATCTTCCGGCAACAGCGAAAGGCATCACCTTGCTCACTTCTTAGCCACACCTTCACTTCAAAGAACCCAGAGATGGGCAGGTTCAGGGGGAGTAGTAGTACTAGTAGTAGTAG